CACCGTGCAGACTGGTCATCACCCAGTGAGCATCACCGTACAGACTGGTCATCACCCAGTGAGCCTCACTGTGCAGACTGGTCATCACCCAGTGAGCATCACCGTACAGATTGGTCATCACCCAGTGAGCACCACCGTGCAGACTGGTCATCACCCAGTGAGCACCACCGTACAGACTGGTCATCACCCAGTGAGCATCACCGTACAGATTGGTCATCACCCAGTGAGCATCACCGTCTTAGCAGCCCTACAAGGGAGGCTGCTGGGGCCCCACCCAGCTTCCCGCATCTGGTCGGTGCATCCACCCTGCTGCTCTGAGTGGTGGCTGTGGGTGCACAGAGCTCACCTTCCCAGGGAATTGCCCTTAGCCAGCGCTTGGCCCGGAAATGCCTAGGAGGTCACCCTTCCCCGATATACACACCCACCCAGTGCCTGGCTAACACCGTGCAGATGCTAGTCCTCTTGCCTCAAGATGGGATGACTGTGGTGCTGTTCACGCTCCAGGCACCGCCCCCACCTCCCCCCCGCCGCCCCCCAGACCCTAGGAACAGGCAAAGGCTAAGTCAGGTGAACCATGTTTTGGCCCAGCTGCTTCCCTCATCCCCTTAGTTTCTCCTGAGAGCATTTACCCAGCTCCAACCATCTCAGAGAGCTTACCCTAAGATTCCCCAACCCACAGACTACACATTCCCTTTCCCCATAGCCCTGTTAATTTTCCCTCCGTGCTCCCTGGGCCTGTGCCAGCATCTTCTCCAAGGGACAGAAGTTCTCCCAGGGGACCCGGAAGTTCTCAAAAAACTGGCTCCCCCTGACCTCTCTCCCAGTGCCCAGGGCAGGGGGACCCAGAGGGAAATGACAGAACTGGGAAAGCCCCTCCCTCAGTGTCAGCCCCCCCCACCACCCCGTCCTAAAGGCAAACCAGCCACACCCCACAAAGGCTTGGGCCCCCGGAAGGAGGACAAAGCCCCCTGTTCACACCTGTCTGCTCACAGGTGATGGTGGAGAGAGGAGGTGGGAGAGCTGTAGGGTTCGTGGGACATAGGGAGTGAACAGAGTCCTGGCCCTAAAGGGGTGTGCAGAGGTGAGATAAAGCCTGGACATACAATGCATAACTTCCTCCAGGAAGCGCCCATGGCTTCCTGCACAACCCCTCCTTTTGTGTGGTTACTCCCCCAGCACCACAACAAGGCATCAATCTGTGTGTCCATCCAATTCAGGTCCTTGTCTTTCTGCCACCAGGCTGTGAACTCCTACTGGGTGAGCCCCTTCCCATGGCTGACATCTCCCAGGTGCACATACTCCCGTTGGAGGAGTACTGGCTAGCAGCAAGGTAGCCAGACCCCCTGACCTTGGCATTTCAGTCTGTCCATCACCCCACCTTCCCCACCGCCACCCCTACCCCCACGGAGTTTCGTTAGCATGAGTCAGTGTCCCACAGTTTGCTCACCCCCGGAGTGTCTGGAACTGTGTTTCTAACCCTGAACCAACAGAAACCCCCACAGCATCACAGGCCCCCAAAGGGGCTCTGTCCCGCTTAACCTCAGCCTCCCCTCACACGCCCCAGGGTGGCACTGCCAACAGCAGCATCTTCTGATTCCAAAGGTGACCAGGCCAGAGCCCATGTCAGGGGCCCCCACATAATCCCTCCATCCAGCCCATCACATGACAAATGCTCCGAGCCGCTGCCCTGCGGGTGCTGGCACAGCTGTCCAGGAAAGCCGGGAACCAGCTCGGAAAGAGCATCTTCGGGGAAACGGGTAGCAAACAGAAAAACAGAAACGAACCGGATGGTTCCCGAGTACGCTTGGTGCTAAGACGACTCTAAAGCAGGGGCATGTGACAAGCAACAGTGGGCAGAGGAGAGACCGGCTTTAGAGAGACGGAAAGAGCTGACAATCTGGGATGAATTCCTGGCTCTGCTACCCACGAGCTGGGTGACACGGGGTAAGTTACTTCATCTCTCTGCGCCTTGGCCTCTTCATTTACAAAACGGGAACAATAATGCCTTCTCCCGGGGCTGGTGTAAGGGTTTAAAAAAATATGTGCAGCCCTCGCCGGTCTGCTCAGTGGATAGAGCGCCGGCCCATGGACTGAAGGGTCCCGGGTTCGATTCCAGTCACTTCAATTGCAGGCTTGATGCCCAGCCCAGGTCAGGTGCATGCAGGAGGCAACCAATCTGTGTCTCTCTCACATCGGTGTTTCTCTCTGTGTGTCTCTCCTCTCTTTTCCATTCTCACTAAAAATCAATGGGAAAATATCCTTGGGGGAGGATTAACCAAAAACAAACAAGACGACAATATGTGTAAAACATCTGGCCGAGCAGTATGCATGTGTTCTTTTGCTAAATGACAGCTCCTGAGATGATCAAATAGGAGGGGGAGATGGGGACAGACAGGCCCCCTCTGTGGCCTCTCTACACCCCAGGGGTGCAAACACTCAAAGCAGACATGACACCGGTGGGGATGCTTCATGAATACAGTCAAGACTCCTGCTGAGGGCTGTGCAGGGTTAAAGGGGGCTTGGAAACCAGGGAGGGGGTGCTCTTCAGGGAGCACCCCTCTTATCATAACCCTCACCCAGCTTTCAGCGAGTTATTTTGTGCAAGTTACGTTTTCTCAGTTGTGAAATGGGGTTGTTGTGAGGAATAAATACGTAAACTCAGGTGAAGTGTTTAAAACAGGGTCTGGCACACGGTGAACAATCGAACCGTGTCCACCAGCACTTTATTCTACAGATGATCCCGCACTCCCCTCGGGAGCCCACTCCCCGGGCCTGAGGCCGAATGACAGGACCCACAGATCATGACGGCTGATGTATTCCCGGGGCCATAACTGCAAGCTCCTTGCCTCGGTTCTGAGAGGCAGACAGGCAAGTCCTAGGTAGCCTGTGTTGGCAGAGGACACGATGGCGTGGAGAAGGCAATCCCGTCACTCACTGACCCAAAGCAGCACTGGGACTCGAACCCAGGCCTTCCACTCAGTGGCCTGGAACCCAGTCCACTGGCCCAATCGTCCTCAGATGCCCCCATCCCCGCCCTGTGTCGCCAGGGAAGCCTGTCACAGCACACTCCCAGCCCCATGTGGAACCGTCAGCTCTGGCCCTGGTCTCATTTCGCTTTCCGAGCTCTATCGATAAACCCCCATGAGGAAAGGAAAACCCTGTCCCCCAACCTGAGTGCCGTAAAGCGTTCATCCACAGTCCCCCGCCAAACTAGGACGCTGCCCCCTCTCTCTCCTCAGAGCCTCGGCACACAAGAGGACATGATTAAAGGCTCTGAAAAGTCCTGCAGTGAACACACCCTCGGACTTGGTTTAATCCAGTGCTTTCCGAGTGTATTTGACCATAAAGCCCTTTCTTCACAGAGTAGCTGTTAACATCTTGAGAGACAGAAGTGTTGTCTGTAACAAGTGGAGAAGTGCTGATCCGACGCTCAACACAAAACTAAGGCTGTGGAGTCAAGTAACACCCGCCCCGCCGCCCCCCACCACACACCACATGCCAGTCCCCTGGCTGAGAATATGAGATGGCATGAGAGATGGCACCCAGGGGCAACTTCATCATGAGGACGGCTGAGGCAGAAATAGCCAGTCCCTAGCAGAGGGCTTTTGGCTCACTCCTCTCTTCCCCCAAAAGAAGACACCCTCAAATTGTAGGTGCCGGTGAGGATTGTGGCACCCGCAGGCCCAGTGAGGAAGCCACATATTTATGACTCACGTGAAGGCTAATTCAAGCTGCCCACTGGGCTTCCGAAGGGGATTCTCACTGGAACCTAGAAGGGGAGTTTCATCAAGGACCCCACCCCCATGAGAGAACATCCTCCTGGCTGCTGGCCGAGGTGGGGAGTGCTGACACAGGCATGAGGGTGCAGCAGTACATGCAGAGCAAACAAGACGGGCAGACAGCAAGCGCATGGAAAACCTGAATTTAAAGCCCCCTCAGCTTTCCGTCAGGTTCCCTCCACACGCATTTGAAAAGGTCAATCGCAGCCAACTGGGGGCTGTTGTCCTGCTCCCTGCTCCTGCTCCTTCCGGGGAAGGGTGTCTGCAGGCTGGGAAACTTCCACGCAGAGCGGAGTGGCGGGAGGGCAAGGAGAGAAAGGAGCAGGGGCAGCGACTTCCCCACCTGGAGCTGGGGAAGTTCTAGCTGCCCAGTTGCCAGATGGCAGGCCAAGGCCCACCCCCCTAACTGCCTCCCGCAGCATCGCTGAGCCTTCTGGGCCAGGCAACATGGAATCGGGATCTGTGTTCTGGTCCTGGCTTCCATCAGACCGTCATCCAACAAATCCTTA